AGCTCAAATCATCTCAGCAAGAAGTCCTCTTGGTTTGGTTTAGAGTGTTTGGGCATAGGCTATGCAAGTTGCGAGAGAGAGAGAGAGAGAGAGAGAGAGAGAGAGAGAGAGAGAGAGAGAGAGGATTTTTCCAAAATTATTTCTTCACTCCTAATGTTTTCTAACCTTGAAAGAAAGAAGAGAGGTCCTATATATATAGAAATATATGAGCTTTGGTTGAAAATATCTAAAAAGAACAACTGGAGCTTTGTGGAAACTGCTGGAGAAACTATCAGGATTTTGCACTGGTGGTCAGCACATGCCTGGCCGTTCAAAAGTGTGCATTGCCGGCCATCAATGGTGTCCAACCGGCCATTTGCCGGCTACTTGCAGGCCACATGTCGGCCACCAAAAAGCTGCTTCTAGGCCCGACTTCAAATGGGCATATCTCCCTCATTCGATCTCCTTTTCAGGTCATTCTTGAGTCTAAATTGAAGCCCCGAAAGTCGAGTTTCCAATGATGGCAGCCTCACATCTAAATTCTAAGTGTAAAAAGAGATATGCTTATTTTAGTGAAGGTTTCTCAGTTTGGTCTTAATTGGATTGATGCCAAACTTCAAACGGCCATATCTCCCTCATCCAGACTCGGCTTTAGGAGATTCTTGATTGTAAATTGAAGCCCCAAAAGTCCAATTTCCAATGGTGATGGCCTCACAACTAAAGTCCAAATATAAAAAATGATAGGCTTGATTTAGTGAGGCTGCCCAGTTCGCTATTAACGGTTTCATGCTCAACTTCTTCCCGAACTAGTTTTCTTCCCTTTCCTCCAATTTTCTTTAACTCCAAACCTCTAAATAAGATGCTTTAAAAGATTTTTGAAAGAGTTCACCTCTCTTGCATTTATTTTCACTTTGTCCTTACTCGGTTTACCGAAAAGTGCAATATTTTCCAACGAAGTGCGAGCCTCAGAACATCATAGAAATATTTTCAAAAATATTTCGAAAGAGAGGGCTTTAAGGTCTAAAAAATTTTTTGGTCTAAAATAGTTTTAGTCCAAAATGGGGTGTAATGTTGGGATTTAGAAGCTCTTCTTGCTGAAGAAATCGAACATTTGCACAGCATAACTTTCATCATCGAGGGATCAATCAGTGGTGCCCAAGTCTTAAGGGCAGTTAAAAATAGGGTGCCTACACGGATGAATGGCTCAAGTAGATGGTGAAGACGTTCAAGATGCTTGGCATCAAGGACAATGGGTTGAGGGTGACCTTGGCATCCTTCCAGCTAAAGGGAGATGCGGGTCAATGGTGGAAGTTTGTGTGGGGGCACATAGGGGTGACTTGGGAGGCTTTGACCAACACCTTCCAGGACAAGTTCTTACCTCCCACTATTTGGGAGAAGTTGAGGGAACAGTACTTGAAGCTCAAGCAGTTGAACACACCGGTGATCGAGTTTGAGGCTACTTTCACTAGTTTGTCGAGATTTGCACCGGAGTTGGTGGTGACGGAGGAACACCGTTGCTTGGAGTTTGAGAAGAGGCTGAGGACTGGACTCCTTTTCAAGGTGGCAGCGTCCATTATTAGGGATTACAGTCACCTTGTGGAGGCGGTGGCTCACTTAGAGACCGTGATCCAGACGGAGGAGGAGCATATGAGGGGCTCCAAACAAAGGTCCTAGGATGTTCAGGGGAATGCTAGGGATAATAAGAGACAGAGGAGTTCCACCCCATGGTAGTCCCAGGCAACACAATCTAGATCCACCTTTGTTGTGCCGAGCTCGGGTTCAGGGATTGGTAATCAGGGAGGTTTCACTTGTTTTAAGTACGGCCAGTTGGGTCACAAGTCTCCAGCTTGCCTGCAGAGAGAAGGAGAGCAATAGTTTACATCATCTGCATCTCGTTCTCAGAGCTAGAGTTAAGAGAGAGGGCAGCCACCTGCCTGCTATTAGTGTGGATAGTCAGGGCATGTGAGGAGGTTTTGCGCTCAGTTGAGTGGCACGCCGGGTGCGTCTGGTTCGAGGCAGACATAGAGCCATCAGCATACCCAGTTAGTACAGGTCTCGAGGGTCAATCAGGGAGCCTCTTCGGCTCAATCTGTGCATCATACTTATGGTCCATGCGGTGAACAGGTAGAGCAGAGACCTACAGGGCATGTGTATCCTGTTACCACACTAGATTTAGTGCCAGCACCTTCAATAGTGAGAGATAACTTCTTGTTACGTTATTCTATTGCCAATGTGTTGATCGATACGTGTACATCCCATTCTTTTATCTCGTCTGCATTTGCATCAGCATTGGGGTTAGAAGTGATTGAGTTAGCATCTCCACTCAGGGTAGAGTTATCAATTGGTGGTGTGGTTGTGTTGGACTAGGGGTGTCGGGTTGTGAAATAGAGGTTGCCAATCGTTGACTTCCTTTTGCATTTGTGTTGATTAATATGTTGAGCTTTGACATTATATTGTATATGGATTCGTTTTCATCTTATCAGGTTGTTATAGACTATTACAGTTAAAGGGTTACTATATGTACCTCAAGTGGTGATTGTTTTTATTTCTTGGGGAACGGAGTTGATAGAGCCTTGTTGCTAGTATGTGATCCATGTGGTCGCGGTGAGCTTAGTCTTCTACTTGCTACATTCTTGGATGTTGAGAGTGATCTGGTTCTAGTTGAGTTACGAAGGGTAGTTTGTGGATACCCAAACGTCTTTCTTGAGGATCTCACTAGTTTACCACCTCATCGTGAGATTGAGTTCTCTATTGATTTAGTGCCTAGCACAACACCGATTTCTATGGCACCATATAGGTTTGCACATACCGAGTTGAGTGAGTTGAGGTTCAATTCTAAGAATTATTAGATAAGGGCTTTATCCACCCTAGTACATCACCTTGGGACGCATTGGCCCTCTTTGCCAAGAAAAAGGATAGCACATTGCGACTTTGTACTATTAAGAACAAGTACCCATTGCCACCTATAGATGGCTTGTTTGACCAGTTGAAAGGGTCTTGTTGCTCCTCTAAGATAGACTTGAGAACTGGTTATCACCAGTTGAGGGTAAGAAAGGAGGATATCCAGAAGATGACATTCTGTACGCAGTATGGCCATTATGAGTTCCTAGTTATGCCTTTTGGGTAGACCAATGCACTGGCTTTGTTTATGGATTTGATGAATAAGATCTTTCGAGAGTTCCTGGACCGTTTCGTGATTGTCTTTGTTGATGACATTTTGATTTACTCACCATCTGAGGAAGAACACGAGGAACACTTGTGAGTTGTGTTTGAGTTTCTTAGAGCCCACAAGTTGTATGCTAAGTTCAGGAAGTGTGAATTTTGGTTGAAAGAGGTGAAATTGTTAGGTAATGTGGTATCTGGGAAAGGAGTGATAGTAGACTCTTCTAAGATAGAGGCAATGCAAGATTGGGAACAACCTAAGATTGCCTTTGAGATTCGTAGTTTCTTGGGGTTGGCCGTTTATTACCATCAGTTTGTGAGGGATTTCTCTAAATTAGCCTCACCATTTACTAGGCTTACGAGGAAGGGAATCAAATTTGTGTGGAGTGAGACTTGTGAGAAGTAGTTCCAAGAGCTTAAGGTTAGACTTACCACTGCTCCAGTGTTGATTATTTCAGAGAGGGGTTTGGCTATTCTCTGTACTCTGATGCATCTCGATAAGGTTTAGGTTGTGTCTTGATGCAAGAGGGGAAAGAAGTAGCGTATGGCTCATGACAGTTGAAAACACATGAGAGAAACTACCCTACTCATGATCTAGAGCTAGTAGTAGTGATCTTCACCTTAAAGATTTGGAGACATTACTTGTATGGTGAGAGATTCAAGTTCTTTTCTGATCATAAGAGTTTGAAATATTTGTTTTCACAAAAAGATTTGAATATGAGGCAAATGAGGTGGATGGAGTTTATATAAGATCATGATTTTGAGTTGCACTATCATCTGGGAAAAGCCAACATAATGGCAGATGCCTTGAGTAGAAAGACCATTAGTAGTGTAGCGAGTATTGCCATCTGAGAATGAGAGATGTTGGGTGCCATTGGCAAGTTTGACATGCATCATGGTAAGTCTGTTGAGTAGGCAACTTTGTTTTTGATAGTCGCACAACCAAAACTTTTGAGCCGAGTTATAGAAGCACAGAGGGGTGATCTTGAGGTAGAAACCCTCCAGGAGAAGATATTTAACAAGAAGATAGAGGAAGGCTTGAACGTGTATTCTAACTCAAGTGTTAGATACCTCAACTGTCTTTTCATGTCAGAGTCTTGTCGAGAGGATGTATGCCGAGAGTTCCACCATTCACGCCTTGCGGTACATCCGGGAGGCACAAAGATGTATCACGACCTTAGCCACCAGTTTTGGTGGAAGGGGATAGAGAAGGATGTAGCCTTGTTCGTATCAAGGTGCCTTACTTGTCAACAAGTGAAAGCCATGCATCAGAGGCCAGCTGGTTTGTTACAACCCTTGCCTATAGCTGAGTGGAAGTGGGAGCATGTTACGATGGATTTTGTTGTGGGGCTTCCGAGGACTCAACGTGGTAATGATGCCGTTTAGGTGATAGTTGATCAGTTGACTAAGTCAGCGCATTTTGTACCTATGCACACACAAGTGACTTGGTAGATTATTTTGCTGACCTTTATATTAGGGACATTGTTTGACTTCATGGGGTCCTAGTGACTATTGTTTTGGATAGAGATCTGCGTTTCATGGCTCGGTTGTGGCAGAGTCTACAGAATGCCTTGGGCACTAAGTTGACTTTTAGTACCGCTTATCATCCTCAGATTGACGGCCAGTCATAGCGTACCATTCAGATCCTTAAGGATATGCTTCGGAGTTGTGTTCTTGACTTTAAGGGGTCGTGGGAGAGGCACTTGCCTTTAGTGGAGTTTGCCTGTGACAATAGCTTTGAAGCGAGCACTGGCATGGCACCTTTTGAGGCCTTGTATGGCCGACCATGTAGATCTCTTGTGTGTTTGGCCGAGGTGGGTGATGCACCTATGATAGGTCCTGAGTTAGTCCGGGAAACGATGGAGAAGGTTGCACTTATTCAGAAAAGATTGGTCACGACTCAGAGTCATCAGAAGAACTATGTCGACTGTAGGAGGAAACCGTTATCCTTTGAGGTAGGAGATTACGTTTTCTTGAAGATATCACGTAGACGAGATTTGATGAGGTTTAGGAAGAGTGGGAAGTTGTCTCCTATGTTTATAAGGCCTTTTGAGATCCTAGAGCTGATTGGGGAGGTAGCTTACCATTTGGTCTTACCGCCATATCTTTCCAGGGCTCACGATGTGTTTCATATCTGTATGCTCCAGAAGTATGAGCCAGATCCATCACATGTGTTGGATTGGACTGAGCTAGAGGTAGGTAAAGATGCCTCGTATAAGGAGAGACCTGTTACATTTGTAGATATTCAAGACCAAGTCTTGCGTGGCAAGACAATTCCTTTAGTGAAGTTGTTGCAGAAACATCATGGGGTTAAGGAAGCAGCTTCGAAATGTGAGGCGAAAGTTTGTGAGAAATATCTGGACCTATTTGTTGATGTTTGAACTTGTATTGAAAAGCTTGTCATGTTAATGTAATATAAACATTGTATATGTTTTGGAAATGTGAATTGTATATTCAATGATGAGAACGTGCTTATCACGATGGTGAGAATGAATTGTCGGTGGATGGGTCATGGTGATGAAATTGAATTGTTATCGTTGCTGTAATTGGTTTAAATATGATTTGTTGTTGATTTAAAATTTCGGGAATAAAATTTTTTAAGAGGAGAGGTTATAGCGAGCCGGGCTTAGACCTGACCCATTTATTGCCTTTGAATCCGAGAACTATATCCATAATGGTCGTCCTTCCCTCTTCTCTTGTTGGATTTTCTTTTGAGGGTCGACAACATCCTTGGTGGTGTTGACATTGCCTTCTTTCTTTTGTTTTGTTCGGCTCTTAGGGTCGACACCAGCCTTGGTGGTGTCGACACCACCTTGTTGTTGTGCCATTAGGGTAGCTACTGAAATTTGGGGACACCACCTTGTTATTGGCTATTGGGGTCGACAACAGTCTTGGTAGAGTCGACCCATCTATTGTTGCTTTGTTCTGGGTTACATACTGAAATGTAGGCTTGACACCTTGAGTTCTTAGGGTCAACCCTCCACTTGCTGTTTGGTTCTGGGTTACATTCTGAAAAATAGGGTTGACACATCTGTCTCTTAAGGTTGACCCTCGTTTGCTGCAAAACAATAGTGTCTCAGTTTTTCTTTTTAAAGGTCGACACCACTGTCGGGAGGGTCGACCCTTGTGAGTTTTTTTCTAGATTTTGTTTGATTTGGGCCCTACTTTTTTGGGATTTTGACTTGTTCTTTTCATTTGACTTTGGAGCTATTATTCTATTAATACCTAGTCACTATAAATAGACCCTAAGACACTTCTCTCTCATTGGTTGTTCCACTTTTTGCCTTCTTACTTTTTCTCACTTAGATCTTTAGATCTACTCACTTAGAGATACCTTGTCATCTTGGTCCTTTGAAATAGATTGTAGATCATCTCAAGGGCCTCCTTTTGATCCAAGAGGTTTGTGGTTTCATCAACGTTGAGTTTCCTCCGAGTTTTCCTCTTCTACCTTTATACTTGAGGTAGGGATTCTCCGCACTTGTTTATGTGTTTTAACTTAGTTATTTGTATTTTAATAAAACAGCATTATGGAAAAGTAGGTCTTGAACAATCTTGGGTTTTGGTTCAAAAACAAAAATGGTTTATCGGAAATGATTGTGGATAGATATTTGTTGTTGAGATAAGATGAAATGAAGGGTTTTTACCTTAGGAAATGGTTTATAAAGGGAAGAGGGTTTTTCCCCTAGAAATCTCAAATGTTGATTTTTTATTGACAAATGCAATTGATATTGAAATGGTGACATTGAGTTATTATGGACGAGGATAGTGGAGTTGGATATGTATTATCACTCACATCTTGAAATTTGGAGAGTTTTTCTTTATTGAGATTATCTATTTGTTTAGAGATATCTGGTTTGGGCTATCGGTGGAGGATAGCTATGATGTGGAAATTGCATGAGTATTAAGGAAATTAAATCTAATTTCTCATCTTTTTGCATTGGCATTGTTGCACCTTTAATACATGGAAGAATATGTGACGTCTTAAGGAAAAAGGCTAAATCTGGGAGAAAGTTATTGATACATCAAATAAGTTGGCCTATATGTCCAGGGTGAAAGTCCTAAAAACCACGCACATACATGGGTGCCGATCCCGGGGATGAAATATCCGTAAAATGGCAATAGTAGTGCTTGTATAGCCTACGTTTACATGGGTGCCGGTTTACGGTTTCCCGCCGACAAAATTTCCATGAAATGTGATATTTGTCTAGAGATTCCCAGAGTTATAATTCATTACCCTGTTTTCTAATGTAAAGGAAATGATTTTCGAATTGTGATATAAACCTATCATTGCATGGTTTGAGAAAAATATAAAATGTTTTGCCACGAGTATTGCATATGCATTTCACCCTTCTATCTTTGTTAAGATTCATATACTGTGTTGGATTATTTCTACTAGGCTTTGGCTCACCCTATGTGAAAAACCATTTTCAGGTGGTGTTGATATGCCTTCGCCAAGACAATAGCTTTGGAGGACTTAAAAGCAAGGGTTTCATTTATTTATTTTGTTGTATTTATTTGTACAAGCCTAGGGCTTTAATTGTATTGGATTTAAAATCCCTTTTGTTGTAACCAAGCACCGTCTTGAAAAACTATAAGCCCTTGGGGAATTTCTTATTTGCTTTACGTTCATTCCATTATGAAACATATGCTATAGATTCAAGGTTAGGCTTGTGAATGTATATCTGCATACGTTACTCTTTTGTAAGCTTAATTGGGAATAAATGGAAGATAATTACTTTTCTATTGTTGTCATTTATTAATATTATGGTTGGGTTATTGTGTTTATTTCGGGGTGTCACAAGCTCACTATTTACAATCCAATTTTGATGCAGATGTAATCGAATGGCTCCCATTAGATTTGGGATGATGTAGTTATCATTGAATGGGTTACCCAAAAAGGCTCCTATATCTTGTACTTATGATAAATGATAATTTATGAAATTTTGATGGCATGCTAGATTTTACTAGGTGGCGAAAAGAAGCTGAAAAATCAGATTTTGAAATGGCTAGAGTTTTCAAAGACAATGAATTCAAAGTATACACAGGCCAGATTCAATATTCAATATTTTTTTATTATTACAATGCAACAGTTACATCCTTCTTCACTTATATAAAAAGAGGTTTGTGCTCCAAAAAATATAATTTTTATAGCTTAGGAGTTCTACTTTGCAGAATACAAGTAAAAAGAGGAAATACATGCCCCGATAGTCGCACAGAAACTTAGACCTTCTCAAATTTGCAAATTACTTTAACAAACTAAACCAAACTAAATCTTTCATCTCAATCAAATGGGGCATCTACATGAATCCTTTTCCCATTCCACTCTGTCAATGCTATATGCTCAATTAATAAGCAATACCATAGTTGTTGTAGTTTAAAATATACATGTGTGGTTTAAGACAAAAAAAAAAAGGCATGTGAGTTGTAGAATGACAAAAAGGGCATGGAGTTAAACAATCCACTAGTAGATGATACATATTTTCCATGTAGATTTAAGGAGGTGCATGCAAGTAGTGTTCTTTTGCATCCAAGAGAATGGGAAGATAGTTTGACTATATCAGAAAGTTGGTTCGATGCACAAAACGAAAGGAAAGCAAAAGATGCTCATAAGACCCCTGCTTTTTCAACATGTACGGGCAAGGGCAAGGAAATCAATTCCATATTTCAATGAAGAATATTGTTGCATTATAGTGCAACAATTTCTCATGCAATGCATTATGGTTAATCCTCGCCTATTGTGATACTAGTATGGGTATCATACGGACATGCCGATATGCTAAAATCTTAAAAGATAAAGGAACAGGTATGACTACGGTACATCAAATATTTATATATATATATATATATATTGTTTTTAGTTTATGGCTAAACATCCAACCTATAAATCAAAGTTCAAAACAATAACTAAAATGAGAAATTACAAAATAAAAACTAAATCAATATTCAACAATACCAATACAATACTAAAGTAAAATCCTGAACCTAATGAACTCATTTTCCTATAACCATTAAGACAATAATTTGTGAATTCTTTCATTTCATTCAAGTATAATTGTCTTAATATTCAAACAACAATTTAAAAACATCAATATTATGAAAGTAATAATGAAACATCAATATAATTTTCAATATTCCTATAAACATTCATTTAATTAATTTTTTTTTTATTTTACATAATTCTAATTGCATTAAATTCCAACTTCCTGAAAAAAAAATGAAAAAAAAAAAAAAATTCAACTTCTGTGGAATACCTGAGTACCCACCCCGTACCTATGGTGTACCTAACTTTTCCATATCATATATGGCGTATATACTAGGTACGCATGCAGTCGTACCGGTACATTTACTTGCACCCGATAAGTATATGGTACTTGTACGACAACATTTTTTGAGTATTCGTGCTTGATAGGTGATAAATGTCAAATGCTACATTTCCATTTTGTAATCCTTGATGTCGGTCTAAGTTGTTAAGATAATATGTCACAATCTAAACCTTGCTATAAGTGATGTAACAAAGAACACCGTTGTAAAACAATTAGTAATTGAACTTCATGTCCTGATGCTTTAATAATAATAGGAAGTTATAGCAGGACTAAAAAGTGCTACCAAGATTTAGTAGCTCTTTCATTATGCTGAATTATTCGAGCTTTATAGTGAATTCTAATTTAGTTTTTAGTATCAACAATCAAATGCTAAATGTAACGCTTCAAAAATATTCCTCATCAATGGTCTATTTACACATTACATTCCCCAAATAATAATCATAAATTGAAACAAATAAGTTAATAATGGGAAGTTGTAGAATAGATATGATGCCCCAAACACTTCTCTTTCTCATTTAACTTCCATTTGATTACCCATTCACAGTATACTTGACATGTTTCCATTTAATACAAGATTACATGTACTTCAAAAAGGTGGAGAAGGATCTACACTAAGATGCGTTAATGGCTTACACTTTCTCAAAACTTCCGGTTTGATTCACAAAAACAAAATAATGAACAAATAAACAAACGACTCGGACACATTAGCTCATCAACTAATCTCAATAGGCGCACAAATGAGTATCTGTGATCCACAAAATATTTAACCGTGTTCTCAAATCAGCGAAGTAATACTCCTTCGTCTTGACCTAAAAGGTTGTTATTATAGGAACGAGCAAAATTGCCCAGTAGGAATACATTTAACAAGGTATATAAACAATTGATTTAATCATGCATAACCCAAAATTCATTGATCCACGCCTTTTATTCCCATGAATTCATATGGTTATGTATATAGAAGAATATAAATCATTCCAAATACTCCCACATTTTCCGTCCTCACACGGATGGGCTAGTGGGCACCTCAAACTTTTCACATTTATCGTTCTCACCTGATC